GAGAGAGAGAGAGAGAGAGAGAGAGAGAGAGAGAGAGAGAGAGAGAGCTTTTAATATTTATTTTTTAGTTTTCGGAGGACACAACATCTTTGTTTGTATGTGGTGCTGAGGATTGAACCTGGGCCGCACGCATGCCAGGAGAGCGCGCTACCGCTTGAGCCACATCCCCAGCCCAATTTTCTGCCTTCTTGAAACACTTTTTTTTAATTTAAACATTCTCAGTCAATGTTTACATTCCTCACTTTAAGACAACAGGATTTTTTGAAAAATTCCACCATGGAGCAAATCATTTCAAATCATCTCATAATTTTTGCTTAGAAATGATGTGTTTTTAAATGACAAGAAACACATCAAATAAGTCCTTCTTAGGAAATATGAATCACACGTTAATGATAAAATTATTTAAAGGTTATTTTTTTAAATTATTAATTAAATAATTAATAATTATTAATTGTACACCAACTGTACAATTAACTGAAACATGTCTAATTGTCCAAAATAATATATGACAATATTTGGGGTAGCAAACAGAAGATGTAGTCAAAATTTTAGTAAGAACTTGCTTTATTTCACTTCTAATTCTGATCCTCAGAGAGCTCAATATTCTTTAAACTAAGCCCTGGAACATGTCTGCCTGTGTAATTTGTCATTGCTATACAATAGATGGCTTCAACGTCATTTGACAGAATGTGCTAACATGGTCATGTGGTACTTTGGAGCACATTGGCCTAACACAAATATTCACTTTGGAATCTGTGGTGTTATTTCTTCTCTGAAAGTCATTTCTTGTTTTTTCCCTTCTATTTTTTTTAAATTGTTCTAATTAGTTATATGTGACAGTAGAATGCATTTTGACACATTGTATACAAATGGAGCACAGAGAATCACTCCTAATTGTTGTTTAATGATTATTTAATTTTAGAATTATTTGAAATTTATGGAAAATATTCAAACATAGTGCAAAGTATGATTGACATATCACATTCTGTCAAGCTCAAAATTGGTCAAAAAAGATTCACATGCTAATTTTTGAAACCTTTCAATGTTAACAATGTGGCCCAGTGGGTATGATATTTTATCTAATCATACATGGGTTTGATGAGATAAAGGACTCAAGAGAGGGATATCATCAGGATTATCCTTGTGTGCCTCAAAGTCAATTCCATGTATCTTTGTAAAGGAAATCAGAAAAATTTAAGTGCAGAGACAAAAGGAGCTGGCAATGTGACCTGAGAAGCAACATTGACTTAAAGTTTCCAAATGACATAGAATGCTTGCCGTCATCAGAGAATGGAAGAAGCAAGAAATGAAGTGTCCCCTAGAACCTACGTGGAGGCCATTCCACTGACAGACCATCTCAATGAAATGATTTCAGATTTCTCATTTCCAAAAATGTGATAGATGTTTGTTGTAAGCCTCCAAGTTTGCAGTAATTTGTTACGGCAGCCACAGGAAACTATTCAAACCCTCACCAGGTTTCTTCTCTGTCATAATCATGCATTACTATCATATAGGAGTTTGGGTCAAATCAAAAGTGAACCCATCTGTTACTGGACTTCTCTTTGTTGGGAGATTATTATTATTAATTCAATTTCTTTCTTTTTTTTTTTTTTTGGAATGGGGGTACTGAGGATTGAACTCAGGGACACTCAATCATTGAGTCAAATCCCCATCCCTACTTTGTATTTTATTTAGAGAGGGTTTCACTGAGTTGCTTAGTGTCTCCCTTTTGCTGATGCTGGCTTTGAACTCACGATCTTCATCTTTCAGCCTCCAAGCTGCTGGAATTGCAGGCGTGGCCCACTGTGCCTGACTATTAATTCAATTTATATACTTGTTATAGGTATATTAAGATTTTCTCTTCCCCTGAAGTCAATTTTCGTTGCCTATGTCTCTCTAGGAATTTGTATTTTATCAATGATATCCAATATGTTGGTGTGCAGGAATTGATATTATGCTGTTTTCATCATTCTTATTTCCATAAGCTGAGCAGCTGTATCATCACATACATTTATGATTCCAGTAATTGAAGTCCCCCCTACACCCATCTCTCATCTCCTGCTGAGAAACTGAAGATTGAACTCCAGACCTTGCTTATGCTAGGCAAGTGCTGTGCTACAAGAACTATATTTCAAGCTCTTTATTTCCTTTTCCATTTTATTTTGTAACAAGGTCATGCTAAATTTCCCAGGCTTGCATCAAACTTGTGATCCTCCTGTTTATGTTTTCTGAGTATCTGGGATTATAGGTGTGCCCCACTGTGCTGGGCTATATATATATATATATATATATATATATATATAGTTACTGTAGAAACATTTTTCTTTGAGGGTGAAATTCCCACAGACTCAATTTTGGTTTTGTTGATTTTTTTCCATTCTAATTATATATTCTTTTTTTTTTTTGTTTTATGCATTCTCATCTTTAATTTTTCCTTGTGCTACATTCAGTG